AGCTTGAAGACTTATAAAAATTTGAAAGGGAAGGATGCAAAGATTCGTTCAACAATAAAAAGATTTTCTTGAAAGTTTGTGCCTTTTATCGGCAGACCCCATCTACCCCAGCCGTTGGATCTTGATTCGCGTCATCTAACAGTCCATTTAAAAATTTTAATCTAAGTCACTGAGCACGTCGACGGTTCGTCTTCTAAGGCCCAGATTAAAACGTCTCTCCTACGCGCCCTCATGCGCCGAAATTCGCAAAATATGTGGGAGACAACTATCATTGAGCATTAAATATGGTGATGGTTGCGTGTATTAGGAGGCGAACCGCTTCAGCTATCTTTTCTTGGAAACGCGCTACGACATCAAATCATTGGGGCACCATAATTTAGGACGTCTCGTGTTTCTTAAAGTCATTAAGATGAAACGTCTCGTAATTGCTAACTCCGAAGCTCTATGAGGGTCTAACCCACTTCACCTTAACCACTTCAGTTAGTGTCTCGGACATGTAAAAGCACTTCTGAAGATACAACTTCGGATTCACTCCACTTCGGACAACACCTGCATAGGGTCTACACAAGTCAGGTATATTTTAAATTCTAACCATAAAATGAATGATTCTATCTAGACTTGGGGGACTATTGTCGTGTGGTAAAAAACCACCCCCTACAAAATTTATTTTTATTTTTATTTTATATTCAAGTCTATGCATTACATAAATAATCATGCATAGACTTGGAGGACTATTGTTACGCTTCGCCTCGCCTCCGAGGCTTAAAGTAAAAATGTCACGTGGCAAGCCACGTAAGCAGAAAATCAAACAAAGACCAATGAGGTCAAAACACGAAGAAATCAAACGAAACAAAAGTCCTTGCACTCCAAAGCCGAAGTCCAAATTGAGGCACTGCCTCAATGATGAAGTTGCCTAATGAAACAATGAAATGAGTTAAAGCTCTTCACTTAAAGAGTCACCTCAAAGATCCCTTCGATGCCCTCAAACTCGTCTGAAACTTACAAAGCCGACGCTATCTTTTGTAATAGATTGGAAGATTTATAAGAATAGATTGATTGATGTAACACTTGTAATAAAGTTTGTTAGTGTGTCAGCCTCCTGTATAGAACGGCTGACCCCTTATCAATATATTAATTGTATGAATAGATAGTGATGCGAAGCCTAAATCAAGGAGATGAAGCCACGTGGTTCTGATCTTACAGTTACTATGTCGGCCAATGCAATATAAATATGCTCTCTTTGTAACTAAAAAAAGGATAATGGATTGGAATTTGGACAATCATATATTCGAAATACACACTTGAACTCTCAAAAATTTTATTGGGTAATAGCACAAAACGTCCACACCTTTCATTTTTTCGCATTTTCACCCTTATTTCCACATTTTATTGCGCAAAAAGTAATTTTTATCAATTTTCTCAATTAAAAATTGTAAAATGATGAAAATATCATTCATTTTAAATAAAACAAAAGGAAAAAGAAAAAAAATTATTTGTAAACATAGTTCTAACTTTTTTGAAAAGTGCAAATGAGTTCCTAATAAATTATTAAAAGGGTAATTAGAACATAATGTCTCTACCTTTCACTATTGTTGCGAAAAACATTTCAATCTTTTATTTTTTTGGCATTTTTTCTCTTAATTATAATTTAATAGCGCAAACTATCTTTTCTATCCATTTTCATCCAACGTCTCAATAAGAAACAGTGAGATGATGAATATACCCTCATATTTAAATAAAAAAGTTAAAGAATTAATTGCAACTATTGTCTTAATTTTTTTAAAAAGTGCAAATGAATCCCTAATAAATTATTAAAAAAAATTATTTTTTATGAAAAGTGCAAATGAGTCCCAATTAAATTTATTTAAAAATTTAAAAAAATTAAAAAGTGCAAACAATTTTCAAATAAATTATTGAAGAATTAGAAATTAAAAAAATATATTTTTATTTCAATTTGAGAGTATATTTATTATTTCACAATTCTTTATTGAGAATTAGATGAAAATTGATATAAATGATAGTTCACGCTATCAAATTATAATTAAGGGAGAAAGTGCCCAAAAAAATAAAAGGTATGAGAGTTTTTCGCAATAATAGTGAAAGATATGAACATTATGTACTAATTACACTTTTAATAATTTAGTTGGGACTCATTTGTGCTTTTCAAAAAAGTTGAGACTATATTTGCAATTAGTTTTTTTTTCTTTTGTTTGATTTAAATGAAATGGTATTTTTGCTATTTCACAATTTTTAATTGAGAAAATGGATGAAAATGACATTTTACGCAATGAAAAGTGGAAATAAGGGTGAAAATGTCAAAAAATGAAAGGTTTGCACGTTTTCCACAATAACAATGAAAGGTGGGGACGTTTTGTGCTAATTACCCAATTTTATTTGATTGAAGATTTTTCGTTTTGGCTTTACATGTTCTTCACGAAAATTTCAATATATAACATAACAACTTCTATAAACATTGTATCTTTTCACATACTCTTATTATATATATTGATTTTGTTTCCATCCGATGATCATTGTTAACGCGATTGCTCTTGTATTACCCGCCGAGCTTGAATAGTTTTGTCTCTCGCTACAAAGTACTTCCCGTGTCCATTTCATCCTTGTTACTGCCGTTGTTCTGTTAGGAACGTGCAGGAATAGTACTTGACTTGGTGTGAATAAGCCTGACATCTGTTGGCTTATTTTCTAGGGTCAACACCAAGGGTCCGGTCCGCTTGATTGGGAATGTGAAATTTGGATGGAAAGAAAATGAATTACAGGGAATTGAATTGTCTAGAATTTGTTTTACTGTGAATTATAATTAATTGTGTTTGATTGATATAATTTTCCGCCTGAAAAATGTTGAAAATTTGGTGTCCGTTTGACTTTATTTTTCACGAAAATTGTCCATTAAATTGATAAATTTTTTTTACCATTAGGTCTAGAATTTGTTTCAATTGCCAAAAAAAAATTTTAAAAATTACCATATCGAATACCATTTGTTTGTTTTTGTTTTACATGTAAATTGTCAATAAAAGTGATAAATTTTTTTACCATTGTATTTAGAATTTTTTCCAATTGCAAAAAAAAAAAAAAAAAAAACAAAAAAAATTTTAACCCACAAAAATAAAAAGATTTTTTTTAAAAAAAAAAGGTGAAAATTTTATATCATATCAAATACCACCTCTTTGGCTTCGTTTTGCATGAAAATTGTAAATAAAAGTGATAAATTTTTTTATCATTATGTCTAGAATTTTTTCCAATTGTAAAAAAAAAAAAAAAAAAGCTGGAAAATCAAAAACCATCAAAACAAAAGGAAAACAAATTTATTGATTGCAAGGAAAAAAGGCACGTAAGTGTAACTGGAAAATGAATTCCAGGTAAAATTTTTGTAATCAAACAGGTAAAAAGTAAAATGGAAAATTTGTAGTATCAAACAGGGCCTAAGATTTTTATTATTTGTCATATTCCTTAGATAATTTTGGTTGTCATCTATTAGAACTAATGAAAATTCGTGGACGTTTTCATTTAAAGTATTAAATTCTTTAAAAAAATTTAAAAATTAAACAGGACGGGGCACCCTTGTTACCCGTACCCGCCTCGGGGCCGTCCCCGTCCTGAATACTTGATTAAATGAGTAATGCTCGCCCGTTCGAGGCAGGGGCCTACATGTATCGGGTATTTTTGACATTCCTATTTCATCTCTCTCTTAGATGTCCCAAGGGTTGAAAGTAAGGGTTTCGAGCACATGACCTACTCCTCTATTTATTTTGAAGTTCCAAAACGCAGTTAGTGGGATATTATCGTTGGTGAGCATTATACTCAAATTTAAGTTCATATGGTACTATGGTCGAAGGTTTTTCCATATTGCACAAGTTAAATTTTCCCTTTGTTATTGTATGGAACAAGAGCATGTCCAAGTCACATTCACTTGTACGTTAACGATCTTTTTGTAATGAATAAACCTGGAATCAATCAACGAAGATGGAATGATACATAAAAGGTTTCAAATAAGTGGGATTTCACCAATGGTGTTTCTATGAGAAATTGGTACTTCGACTCAACTATTCATCCAAACATGAAGCATGTCTCAAACTTCTGTGTTTCAAAAATCTTCAGCTGGCATAATGACTGAATTACTTGGGCTGCCACCAATTCTGCTATTATGATATCAGATCAACTGCTTTTCTCAGCCAGAGTTTGTCTTTCCCTTGCTCTGTTATCCAATCCACATTAGGCTTGCCTTTTACCGCATCTTTCTCTTGCTTTCTTGCTCCTTTCGTCCATCTTCTTGTTCTTACAAGTTACATCGACTTACAACTGTCTGCAAAAATCCATAGCAATTGCAGAACAAATTCCAAAGTTATTAACTAATCCAAAATAAAAGAATTAACGCAACCATTGAAAAACTTCAAAACCCTTTTGCATATTGGAAAAGTCTCAGACATCCAAGGAAGGATAAAAGCAGCACTAGCTCTCAAGCCTGGCGAAGGCGAAAGCTCTTAGGCGGCCACTGCGAATGTTTTGAGAAACAAGCCTTAAAATTAGTCATCATAGACACCAGGTTAATCATATCCACAAAACCAATCGAATTCTTTTCAAACAAAATCAGAAAATCAAAACAAACCACGCAATTTTTGCTACGGTAGTAAGCACAAGACCAAACACAGATAACACAAAAGGAATAATGGACAATGAAAAGAAGATTGATTAAACCGTTCGAGAGAGAGGCAGTTATAAAGGCAGAAGATGGAGTTTAGGGTTTATGGGTATATGTGATTGTGCGGCGCAAATTTGGGGCATGGACTGGGCCGAGATTATGGGCTCCGGGTACATCCGTGGCCGAGGAAAAACATAGACCATGTTTGGCAAAGCTTAAAAAGTTTTACTTATGAGTTAATTGTAGATTAATAATTTTTATTAACTGGAGAGACGAAACATTTCCTTTCCCGTGCGTTGCCTTACAAGGGCCTCCGATTTCATGCGTTGTAAGAATTGCCAAAATGAAAATCCAAGAAAGCATAAAAATCAGTTCTTTGATTCCAAAACTGTCTAAATTTCTGCCTAAACGGAACTGGGGTTCTGCTTCTGGGCTAAAAATATCTGCAGCTGTTGGTGTTCTGGGTGCTGCTGGTATAATCTTGGCCGTAAAGGATAAAGTTTTGAAATTTAACAACCTGCTATTATTGTTATCAGATGGTGATTCTGGAAAGTATTGGACAGTCCCTGGATTGCAAAATTTTGGAAATAATTGCTTCTTGAATGTTATTTTGCAGGTGAATTCAGTTTTATCGATAATCTCTCTCTCTCTTTTCAATTAGGTTGTTTTCGTTGGAGTTGTATTGTGGGGTTGTTAGAAATTTATTTCTACAGTTTCTTTTCTACTATCCTACAAGAATATGATGTCATTAACTTAGTTTTCTATTTTTATTTATAATGGATTTATATTTGGGGTTAGGCTTTGGCAAGCTGCTCGAGCTTTCGGAAATATCTTGAAAAAACGGTGGAGGAATTCAAGTTTTCATCAGATGGAGTTGAAAGCATGCCACTTGTTAATGCCCTGGCTTCTCTAATGGAAGGTCTGTGTGAAAATTGTTTTCACGTTCTTAAAATTTGAAACTGAATTGAGGAGTTTGCTCATTTGGAGATAGGTGTCTCCGTCTCTCAAATTCATAATGCTGTTGTTGTTAAATTATCAAATTCAAGTTCTGCGTCTTATTCCAAGTAATATTGAGTTTAACTTGTTGATGTTTATAATCTCTTGTGGTTCAGTTGCATTCTTATCGGTGCATAGCTGCAAGTTGTTTTTCTAGATGTGGGGATTTCGTGGCTAAAGTGTGATTATTAGTCAGGAATGTGTCTGTTTTGCAGTTACCATTCATCTTTACTTAAACGCCATATGGTGTCTTCCATGTTAGATGTTTTGAAGGCTTTTTTGGCATCTTGGAAAGGTTAATGTAAGGATCTTACATGATACTTCAACCTTTGTTGTCCTGGCATGGTGATAAGTTGGGCTATACCACAAGGTTCAATGTTCAGATAATATAAGTAGTTTTTAAAGTTTCATAATATGGGATAATCATAATTTATTGCACAGTACTGCTGTTTCCATTATCTCGCATCTGTATCTGTATCAAGTATCGCGCACTGGTTTCTACTTTAGAAAGGCTAAAGAAATCATTAATAACTATTTTTATTCATGCAGTTTCCATTGACTCTTTTTGAAGACAAAAGATGAGTTTAGAAAGTCTATTCTCTTCCTAACATCACCTCATGTCACAAGCTTTTACTTGTATATTCTTGTCACAGTAGTTATTGCTGTGAAAATAGTTATTTTATTCACAGTGTGGAAAATGTTCACAAAGCAAGATGAAAAATCATCTGATCTGAAATTCTATCTACTTTGAAGCATCTGTAAATCAACATTTTGTACCGCCTCATAGGTCTTGTCTAATCCAGTGCTGAGGTAGTGAGGTTACAGCAATCCAATTCAGCTGACATTTTAACCGAATCAACAATATTCAAGATGACATTTATGTGGAATCAAGGCACACTTCGATGCAAAATTTATGGGTCGTGGACATCTTTCACTCTGTAATTAGTTTTGGTCCACAATTCATGATCCATCTTGTTACTGTACTTGAAGACATTTTCAACAAACAAATCTGCATTTACTTAAGCAGCACGACTTCCAATTTTCTTGTACTCCGCTTCGGTTTTGTGACGGGAAGTGCGAAAATCCTCAAAGACGAATCATGAATCTACCGTTAACTTTTCTAAATATCCATTTCCTTTCTTGCTTTTATTTCGACATTGATTAATAAAATCATACAATGACACTGTAGTAAAGCTTGGAAAGGTTCCTAAGTCTTTCACGTCTTTTGTCTTCTACTTCACGCTAATTTAAATGATAACTATCTATCTGTGCCTATATATTGAATTGTTCTGAAAAAGGCTATTTGAATTTTGGATAAACTATTCAGCTTAAAAATCACGTAAAGCATAAATTCTGAATTCCAGTGTGGAGGAACTCGTGTCTAACATAACTGGATCAGCTGGCTTTCTGTTTATTATGGCTAGCTTCTCCATTACATCTGCCTACTGAGAATGTCAATTAATATTCTCCATGTAAATGCACTTGATTAATTCTTTATATGAGCACAGTTTTATACCACGGAGGTGGTGCATCACCAATCACCATCGTCCATATGGTGCAATAAACTAGGTTTAAACTGCTAGCGTTATGAGTATTTAATGTAATATATTATCTGCTTAAGACTACATTAGAATGCTTTTTATCAATATTCCATTCACACTCTTGTACCTTTAGCAATTGTTTTGTGTTCAAGGTGTATGAAAACGTGTAGCCCTAATCTATATCGGGACTTTTTTTTTCATTCATTTGTGCCCAAGAAACTATCTTTAACATGTATCTTAACTGAGGCACAAGAATTTTAAAAAAAGTTACTAGTATTTCCATTATCATAATGACAAGATAACTAAATAAGGAACTCGAATAACATCAAATCAAATCTTTTGTAACTAGAAATAAGGGAAGTCTTTGACTTCCTTTCCAAGCATAAAGAGATTCGTGTCAGTACAAGTGTTCATATGGAAAGTTATACGGTCAAAATCAAAATCTACACCGATATGATATATTTTGTGAGCCTGATTGGTTCTAACAGATGTACAAACCATCATACTATAATGTGAATTCACTGAGTTAACTAGTGCAGTGATTGCACCCAAAGAGGTTTGTACACCGATATAATGTATTACCCAATGATTCTGTTAGTTCTTGTTTTTAGGCGTTACGAGAAGTGATTGCACCCAAAGAGGTGTTATTTCTGGAAAACAAAGCCCACCTGGTCTTGTTTATCTCTCTATCTTACATTTATTACTCTGATGCAAGTATTTCTGACGCATAATAAGCTTTTGTCCTGGTTGAATTCAATTATAAGCTTGTTGAGTTGCATTTAACATTCATGTCCAGCATGACTGATAGTAAACATGATCTTGCAGAATTAGATACTGTCCGACATGGAAGAACTGTGCTCAGTCCAAGAAAACTTATGCTAGCAATGGATAATTACTTTCCAAGTTTCAATCTAACTAGCCAGCAGGTACTTCTGTGATAAGCATTTGAACTTCTTAATCAATGAGGAAATGTTTTAGCTAGAATTGGTCTGGATGTAGGATGCCGAGGAAGCATTTTCTCATCTTTTGTCTTCATTAAGAGAAGAACTATCAGAGCAATACGTCCCTGATCACAGCTATTTGGCTGTTTTGACTGCCCCTCATGGCGGGATTCGAATTGTAAACAGCAGCAATGGGTGGAGTGAATGGCAAAGATGGTTGCACAGTTTCCTTGGGCCCTTTGATGGGATTGTTGACAGCATTTTAATTTGCCAAAGCTGTTCAATTCAGGTTGAATGGTACCAGTAAGAATATGCATATCATTATATTATTTATTTGAATTGTCAATGCCCATACTTAAGTTAGGTAATTAAAGTAAATGCGAAGTGACTTGAATGTATAGGTAGCAGTTGTATCATATCTATAATTTTTTGCTATAATTTTGTATATAAATGGTTTAAATTAGCCAATTTTGTTGACTGTTCTACAATGATTATCCTCATAATATTGTAAGCTTGGCCAGTTGACCTTATAGTGGAAGTAGCAAAATGAAGGGCATTCTTTCAGCCTTTTCTCTTTAAGCGATTCATTTTTTTTTTACCTTTCTTTATGCAGATATCTCTAGATTTTCAACTATTCCACAGTTTGCACCTTTCGCCCCCTATCAGCCATAATGCTACAATAGTACGGTTTAAAATTGTGATACAAATGCTTTCCATACCTTTATTTTCAGTTCCTTCCTCGTGGTGATGTTTTCTGGTATATAAATTTTAGATGGCAGGATGCTCCCTGGAGGATTGCCTCAAGCAGTTTTTTGTTGCTGAACATCTTGAGAATTATTGCTGCAGCCACTGTTGGCACAGTGCTGCAATAAAATATGTGTCTACAGTAGCTGAAGATAAGGTAATTTTTCATTCCATATTCTTCTTGCATAGATCTGTGTTCTGGTTGGTTCATCAGCTCAGCTAAAACTTATGGCCCTCATGTTGTGCATATGATCTGCTCAAAACTTTTGGCCACAGTCTTATCCATTTATGTCATGTTTGGTAGGGAGGATTGGTTGGCACTAGATATTATTAAGCCCCTGTTTGATAACCATTATTTTCAAACTCTTTTTTCTGCGTACTCATTTTCAACCACACATTCACACCATAAAATGTTTTGCACATAAAAGCAAAGCTCTTCGCTACTTTTTAACTACGCATTCTCCTAAAATTCACTATTTGAAACTCTATTTTCTCCAAATAATGGTTGTCAAACAGGGGCTAAGTAAGGAAAATAATCTAAAATTTTGTTCATTATATTGTTGAGTCCGTTCCAATATTGTGTGCCAAATTTATGCTTATAATCATATCTTTTAGCTTCTATTAACTGACAAGTTCTCTGGTTTGTGTGTCTTGGCTGGCATATTTCATAATGAAACAGTTGGAAATTTTGAAATTACCCGTGTAATCCTGATACACACCTTTTTTCCAGACAGATATTGAAAAACTACAAAGTTGTACTCATGATGATTCATGTGACTGCAAAACCCTTTCTTCCCTTCAAGGACTTCCATGGTCAAATAGGTTCTGTCGTGCTTTCAAGCAGCTCAGTATTGCACGGAGTCCTAAGGTATGAACATTTCCATGGTCTTGACTCTATTGAAGGCTTGGCACATAGTTATTGAAGTTTAATTTATGTGGTATAAAGACAGGGATCGTGATATTGTCAATTAGGTTCATGGGGGAGCATGTCATGGTTGGAAAACACTGGACTTGTAAATTTGAACTTAGCATCTGATGCTCAGATGTACAGTTATGTTAATACGGTTAAAAATTTGAATGCTCCGGAGATAACAACTTCTGGAAAACTAATGATTAATGGGATTTTCCCTTTTATTTGCCCTCAAATACACTATCTATTATTCTCTTTAATTGCCAGGATGGTGCATTAGTAAGCACATTTTCTGATATCAGTTTTGGATATAATGTGATACAGATGATGATAATTTGAATCTCGAAGTTTTCAAAACAAAATACATTATAGGTATGTGAATAAATAAATAAATACTATATGCATACATATAGAAAATGTTAAAATAAATATTTGAATCCATAAGAAATTTTATAAGTAAAAATTAAAGGACAACAATGTCAATATGGGTATTATGCTTTCAATAGTAGCAAGTTGCATATATAGTAGGATCTAGGACGTATACTATGGTTTTAGGTTCATTTGGATGCATAGAAATTAATTTATAACCATCTGGGGTATCCACAATGTTTGAGTGAAGAGTTATTGGAAAAAGTCGCAACAACCTGAAGGGGTCTTTGAAATATCAGTGCTTTCTAGACAGTACATAAAATTTTATTGTTTTCACTTTATATATCTATTGAAGTAAATATGTGATTGATGCACTGATAAAATTGTATGTCATCACATTATCCCTGCCAAACAAAAACAAAAAAGCAATAATAATAACTAATAAGTAATCACATAAATACGAAAAAGGAAAGGAAATGAAGGAATTGATGGAAAACTCTGATATAATATTGTGCAATAATTTAAGGTGAAGAGATTGCTTGTTCATCTTAAAAGAAAAACAGCAAGTTGGAATATGTTATATTTTATTATTAACTCACTTAACTTGTTTGTCGGCCTTTTACCCGTTTTCATCCTATAAATTTTTTTCTTGCAGATTTTATGCATTCATCTGCAACGTGCTTCAGCTAATGTATCTGGGCAATCAGTCAAACTTGTGGTACCTTGCTTTAGATTGTTAATTATGGTTGATTCCTTCTTGTAGCAAGCTATATGTGGCATATAGCCATTTCATTGCCCACACTTTTTATACTATTTTATTGCCATTCAGCACTTGACAATATCATGCAACTATTCATTCCTTTTGTGCATTTATCATGCTTGCATTGAATCATTAATGAATTTGCTCATAAGATATTTTTTGTAAAATTTTTGCTGCATAGATAATTTGATTGTTTCTGATTTTTTTGTCACTCAAATTATAATATTGGCTAATACCGATGTCATCTTTCCAGGGCCATCTCTCTTTTCCATTGTCCCTGGACCTGTCTCTATTCATGAAAAGTGAAGTTGGAATAAAGAACTGGGAAGAAAATTTGCAGTTTAAGCTATCAAAGAACCAGAGTTAGAATTCCTTTCCTTCAGTCACCAGAAAATACAACTTGATACAGGTTTCTAAGTTGCAATGTTTGTACAGGGGGAAACATTTCGTCGAAAACGGAAGTTGCGAAGGAATCAGAAAGAAATACAGTTGCACTGCCCAATGGTAATTGCTTAAAAGCCTCTATAGCAGGACCAAGTTTGCTCAAGAATAGCGGATGTGCTGATACCATATTAGGTAGTATGCCTACTAATGACAAGGTTAGTTGATTGCATGTTTGCAAGTATTTTCCACAGTTGTGATTTCAGTATATTATTTGGACAGATGATCAATACGATATGCTACAAAGTTTCTCTTATTAAGGGTGAAAAAATTGCAACAAAATGTTAAGAGCTAGAGTTCTAAATGTTTTCTTGCACTTCTTTCAAAATTTATTACATGCTTATTAGCATTAGCATGTGCATGTGACGAGGTTTCTCCAGTGCTTATTGAGTTAGTTTATCAAATTGTTGTAGTTACAGGGTTTATTGCTTCTACTTTTAGAACTGTCTTGAGCTCTTTGATTATCGTGTTGAGTGCAACAAGGCACAAAAAAGTGATAAAGAGAAAATGACATCGACCAGTTTTAGAATCCACACTTTGCCATTTTAGATTTGAAAACAATTATTGGAGCAGGTTCATTTGTTATCCATGGAAAATAAAATCTTCACAAAAGCATGGCCGAGTACCTGGAACATTTTGAGAATGAATGTACTGTCTGAACTGTCACATACGTGTAATGAGGTCTCTTTATTTCAAAACTTTCACTCAATTGAATGTCTTAGTGCATGTTTGGTTGGTGACTAAATTATAACTTAAGTGATAAAATAAGTGATTAAAATATGTGGGTCCCAAGGAATTTGTGGATAACAAGTGGGTAGTAATTGTGAATCCTACGAAATGTTTGGATAAAAAGTACATTTAACCATAAGCAATTATAAAATAATCACCTACCAAAAATGCACTCGCTTTTTTCTTGATTATAAATCTTTTACCTCTTTCTTTATCTCTTCGAGTTTATCTTTTGATTTTAATTTCAAAAGTTTTTCAGATTTCATTTCTTACCCTATATTTTTCCAATTTCTTCTTGCCCCACTTTATTATGTGTTGAACCATCTCATTTAAAAGCTTAAAATGTTGGAGACAAGACATATTCATCTAGATTTAATGTTCAATAAGGCTTCTCACATGGAGTTCGGATTTCATTTTTATCGAAGGCCCGAGATGTGTATATCACTTCACATTGCAAACAATATATCTGAGTATAGACCACAATATGTTGGTTGCTATTGCCGAGTGCATATAGATCTATAAAGATTGTTAATGTGTCTTTCAAATGAGTTTATGCTCATATAATTTGGTTCTTGTTCTTTGTGCAGGAGGTTAGTACATTGCCTTCAAAACCTCGAATATATCGTCTAGTCTCTGTTGTGGAGCACTTTGGAAATGTTGGAAGTGGACATTACATGGTTTACAGAAAAGTTACAGCAAAGTTAGGTGCTGAAGATCCCATTGCACTACTGGAATCTGCTATTGATCAATGGTTTCGTATCTCGGATTCTGAAGTGCAAAGTGTATCAGAGAAAGATGTTCTGAATGCAAACGCAAGTATGCTGTTTTATGAGAAAATAGTTGAGCACTGAGACCTCACAATCTGGATCTTTGTGTATCAACTTTTCTGGAGAAACTAAGAGCTGCAATTGGTTGTTTTGGGGTCACCATCTTTTTTTTCGCGCGCAGAACTATTGATCCCGAAGTTTTGAGCTAATCTTCTCATGACCAAAAAGGCCAGGAGAAATCTTGCAAAAGATTGACGCATATATTTATGAATATAGAACTGATGTCTGAATATTTGCGTTTGCATGCATTTGCAAATCTTAGAGAGATGCAAAAGGATATATAGTGAAGTAAGGTAACAATTGATTGAATTGTATCGATATAGAAACGGGAAATATATGCTCATCAATTTTTTTTTTTCCCTTCTTTTTGGGATGTATAAACTGATAATTCTCTCTTAATTGCACGATTACAGGATGGTAAATTGTGTTGTTTGTTTTGTTCCACTTAAAATCTCAATATTCTTCAGGAAAGTTGTCTGTAAAATCTTTTGTAATGTACATAAGAGCAATCTCTTCATTGTTGACAATTTTTCAACCGTAATCAAAAGTTCTGCCAAACAACCCCTAAGTTAGAACATCCTCGAGAGCACCAGGGTTCTCAAAATATACTCGCTGAGAAGTTTCCAATGGCTTGTAGCTCTCTCTCTCTGCATCTTGCTCTTTCTATTACTTAATTTTCACAGTGAAATTATCAGAAAAGCCAAATACTTCTACACATTTGCTTCTTGGTAAAACAATTTGGAGAAGAACAAGTACAATCCACTTTTTTTTCCCTCTCAACCTTGAGAAACAACATGAAATAACACACAATTGAGATATATATATCTGAGGCTCAAGTATATTCATTAGCAATTTTTTAGACCATTTGAGCTATTTCAATTATACAATTAGAGATTTTTTCTTTCAACAGTAAAGTAAACTAATTAACTACGAAAAATATCAAATGGAAATATAATTTTCCTTTTCTCCTTTTTTTTTGATCGATCAGTAATTGAGTGTTAAACTAAAAAGAAATTATCCCTTCACGCAGTTGAATTAAATTGTGAAAGATAGGAAGATATATCTCTTAATCATTCAAAATTTAACAATAAAATTTTTACTACGTACATTGCCTTCTCATCGAATTTAGCCTTGGAAATTGGCAGTCATTCCTTCAATAGAAAATGCTTCAGAGCTCGTAAGCTTAAAATTTGTAGAAAAATCTTGCATTTGTCCTTCTCTAGTGAGCCATTACTACTTACTAGTTCTCTTTAATACTTTCATTGATAAAAATAAAATAAATAAAATCGACTGTTTAGTCCGTGGTCCATTGGATGGTCGCTGCAAGGCTAAAAATTGGAACACATTGATTTCTCTCGCTCCCGTCTGTCGCTTCAAGTTTCTTCCAAGTTAAATAAAGACAGGCTACCTAAAAACTAAACAAGAAGGATAAAAGCTTCCTTTAGTGCACATTTTCTATATCTAAATTTCTCAGGTTGTCCATAACAGTTCCACTTTCGGCCCGTTCACTTCGAGTTCCTTCCTTCATAGCCAAATCTGATTATTCATTTTGGCGCTTCAAGCGATATCTTTTGGTAGCAAGGAGTGGAGTTACAATCCAAATAATTTTGTAGATTAATTTAAAATGTAAAAATTTCCCAAGTTGTAGTGATTAAAAAAAAAAAAAAAAAATCCCCATTAAGCCTTAAGAAGCAACTTCAACATTGGCAAATCCACAAAATATAGTAGCTATTTCTGAAGTATATGTATATATGAACAAAATGAGGCTAAATACTGTATGACCCAACATTTTTATTAGAAATATATATGTTTTCAGCAATATATTCACAGTCAGGTTGTGCACAAGAGATACAACATATCTCAAAAACCCTAACTGGGGGATTCCCTATTTCTAATCTAAGCACTCTCAGTGGATATACATCTTTTATTATATATCCAATATATTATGCATTTCTATATATATATATATATATAGATAAGCAGCATACATGTGTGTAGCAAAAGGAAACTAATTTGTTTAACAAAATTCACCATCCTAGTTATGAATTGGAGTTTTCTTCCTCGCAGGAGTGTAATCCATTGCTGCTAAATCTTCAACATCTGGGAGTTCTTGTTTTGTTCCAAGAATTCCCTTATCATTTTCGGTATCAGTTGGTCGAGGACTCTCCATTTTTAAACGCCTTGCTGCAGAAATTAAGACAAACAGAAAGGAAATCCCATTCAACATTTTAGTTCTTGAAACCTAGAAACAAATGGGGAAAAAATTTAAACAAGAGAAGAAACATAAATCATACCTTGAGAACAGGTCGAGATGAAGCAAAACAGTAAAAGAACTAGCACAACAATATGCTTGGTGGGCAAAGCAGCCATCTTAACTACAAATCTGTGGTTTTAGAATATTAATAAAATCTTTCTGCGTTCTGGGCTCTTCAACTGCAAGAAATATCCTATTTATAGGCAAAAATTTAAAGGGTCAGATTCATAGCAGATGTGCAATCTCTATACGGCAAAATTCTGTAAGTAAACTTGTCAGCAAGGGTCCCGCCAGGGGTCATAGAGTGTCTTCAGCATCTTTTTGCAGAAATGATTATTTGGTTTGCAAAGTAAATCATGATTTGCTTGCTCCAATATAAGACAACATGAGCATATGAGTGACTGGGGATTAGTTAGGGTTAAGGGCTATGTACTGTTGCATGCATACTATCATGAAGAAACAGATCATATGCTTGGTTTCTTGTGTAATTTGTAGAGAATTCATGGTACAGAAATTTTGGAACCCTAAGTCTGGTCTCGCTATTTTTAGTGTATCTGATCAACAAAACTCCATTAATAGTTGTTTAGGCTCTTATTTTCAGAAATAACGGAGTGCATGTGATGGGAATTGGATTTATTTATTTTTTTCTGAGAGATTTTTCTATATATATCGATTTTTCTTCGTGTTGTGAGGACGATATTTAGAATAAATAACTGATATACCTTGAAATTCATGGCTGTTTGATGTAGATTTTTTTCAAAAATGATACTTTTGAAGAATATATAGTTAACAATTTATGAAAAAAATTATAAAAAGCACGATTAAAAATGAATTTTAAAGAATTTATACAAAATAGTGGCTCAGTTACCTGCTAAACAAATCCCAAATAACTCTAGTTTAAAATTTTCAAAGACCAAATTTTTTTTTATTTAGATTTTATTTTCAGCATGCAATAAAAAAATATTAAAATTTTATCTTTCATGCTATGCAGCATTGAGTCCGAAATTGATCTCGAATAAGTTCTATCTATAATTTAATAAAGGTGTTTATGTGCCTTTCATTTTCTTAATATAAAAACAAAATCATACCTAATCTTCACAGGATGAATAAACTCTGCTGAGTTAATCTGTCTAATAGGTTTTTTTTTGAATCTACACAGTGCTCTAATTGTATTGTCTATTTTTGTTTATGTGGTAAAATTATTTCAGCAATTCAAGAATAATGGGATGGTCTTAGGACTTAGGTCCGCTTTAATATTATATTGAATTATTTCATCCAAAATTAAAAGATAAATTCGATCAATTAAGTCCATTTGTCTACATATCATGAGATTATAAAATTCATTTCCAAACATAACTCTATCGTTTGTAGTCCAAATTGGACAATCACACAATAGTTTTGTTAACTATAAATCATGTACTCTACAAGCTCCTCACACGACCTGCGTCGTTTTTGGATGTGTTATTCAAGATAGAAGACGAATACAAATTTTAACCTCAAGAACACCCAGTTTGACGAACAAATAAGGATTAAGGGTGTGTTTAAGCCACATTATCTTGAAATAGTAGATTGATAGAGAATGTGTGGTTGAAAAAGAAGGAAAAATTACTGATGTGATGGAAAATATTATTTTATTGAAAAATGTGTGGTTGAAAATGAGTAAAAAAATAAGAATAAAAATTTTAATATGACTCAAACATGAGCTAAGTCAAAAGTGGAAAATTAAGGATCAATCAAGTAAATTTGAGCATGATAAAGAGAAGTGAAGTTCCCAATCAGAAATTCTTATGATTTCTTAGTTTCTTAAATGTACAATATATTTTATTCGGATTCATGGTTGAACTCAGCTTACCCTGATCTATTATATATACTGATTTAGCCTCTGTTTGAATAAATGTTGTGAAAAGTAATTTTTTGAAATAAGTGTGGTTAAAATATATAAAAAATTTATGAATTCACGTGTAAAATTATTTTATTGAGAGAATGTGATCATAAATAAATTTTAATAACTTATTTGCACAACAACTTTAATTGTAACTTTTGGTCGAAATCATTTTGGTGGACCATTATGTATAGACCTACTCCATGAATTACATTACTTGTGCAGCTTGCTTTGTAAGGTGAGCATAGAACACTAGATAATATTAAAAAAAAAGATAAAATAACTTGAAAATCCAGTGTTATGTCTGGTTGATGATAAGATTTTTAGTAAATTTTGATAAAAATTAATAAAAGTTGTAGGCTCCTATAAAATGTGATTAAAAATAAGTTAAGAGAAAATGAATTTTAAAAAGTTAGAGACGTAGTTTATGTTTATCAAACGAGATTAAATTCAAAACTAGATATAGTTAACCATGACAATTAATAGTTGTACTAGTTTTAGGTTAATACTTACATACATCATGATTTTATGAAATAATTTTAGCATATGTTTGGTCCGGATTAAAATCTGATTTAATCCAAGTCAAAGTCAAACAATCAATATTAACCACATCTTTCATAGATTTTACAACTTTCTAACCACACATTTCAAAAACTTATATCAAAATTTATCAAAAATTTAATTTTAATCCTTACCAAACACCAGCCTTAAACGATACATAATTAATAATTAAACCTAAAAATGCATTGATAGGGAGGACCCGCTTTCTAATCCAGATAAGGTGATTTGATAGCGGCAACTACAAAATACTTCACATGGCATGCAACCCTTTTCATGTCTTTGGTGGGCACTTGTTGTCTCCATAGAGAACACACTCACACCAAACAT